GTAGTAGTAGTGGTGGCAGTAGCAGTAGCAGTGGTAGTCGTAGTAGTAGTAGTAGTAGTAGTAGTAGTAGTAGCAGGCGTAGGGCAGGGGTAGTTTGGGATGTGTTCTTTGAGTGTGAATTCCTGGGTTTGTATATTTACAAACCTTCGAGTTCGACATCCAACCTTGCGACATAGGTGACACAGCTGTCATCCTGCGATGGTTTCCATTCTGTGCCCATGGCGATGGTGTTGTGGATGAGGTTGGTGACAGAGATGACGATGACGTCGATGATTATGATGATGATGATGACGATGACGATGATGATGATGATGATGATGATGAAGAGGATACTGATGATGATATCTTCGTCGTTGCCGGTGTTGTAAGCATGAACTACCATCTACAATGCAGTCCGCCTCAGCACGTCAACCAGCCTAAATCCAGAGCTCGATGTAGGCTGCACGCACACGCTCTTCAAGCAGCTGCCCTAAGGCTCCATCTACGTACAGTATATACTTAGGTTACTTAGGCCTACAGTACGTATGTATTGGAACCCCTTTAAGGCCTCAATATACCATGGAGCAATAGGGACCACCCTGAGCCCTCATGGCCGCCATGAGGATCTGTGGCCTCGGTGGTCGCGATGCTCGCAGTGGCATGCCTTGGACGTCAGTGCAAGTGTTCTTGGTCACATAGTGGCATAGTGACCCGAGTATCAGCGCTAAGTTGTGTTGACCACTGAAAGTCTCGAGGGTGTTCGTTTTGCGGGTTTCTTTCTTGCCACCCCAGCAGCCCAGTTCAATCCGTCTACACAGTGCTGAGGCCTCATCACAGACATGTAATCCCCAAACCCTAAGCCCTAATCCTAAAACCCCAAATCGGTGCAGGGGCTCTTGTGTGCTCGATCCTTGTTGTTGGTTGTGATGATTCCAGGCTTAACGTAGACTTTGTAACCAGTAGCCTTGAGCCCAAAGTACGGGGTGCTTGGACTTGGACCTTTGTAAACAGTGACTAATCCAGTAATCGTGTTCCTCTTTACTTGCTATCCTAATTTCTCTTAGATATCATACACCCTAAACCCCCCTTGCCCTAAACCCCTACACCCCGAATTGCCACCCTTCTAATTTGGACCGTTGGGGACTTTGCCGGGGTTCTTGTCAAAGGGTTTAATTTAAGTTACCAAAATAAAGAAATCATATTATTTTCTTTACATCCCTATTAGGGTAACTTGGATTAAATTCCTTAGCAGCGTAGATAGCCAATGGGCCTTATATATTAGGTCTATCCTAAACAGTTTGAACTGTTTTGGGCCTGGTTATTGAAGAGGATTCACCATAATAAAGAAACCATATTATTTACTTTACTTTACCCTATTAGGGTAATTCAGACTAAATTCCCCAACATGAGCCCAGTTGCCTTCTGGCAGATCATTTTATTTATTTACTTTACATCCCTTTAAATGGCTTGACAGGAGCCCAGTGGCCTTCTGGCAGCCGAGGCCTGCTTCTGCTTCTACTCTCCGAGTCGTGTCTTCACCAGCGACGAGACGAAGGACGGCTTAGGGCTCCAGGTTTCGGGGTTTGTGCAGTTGTTGAGGGTTCATGGGCTGATTTAGGGGTTGGTGTAGGGGTTTCTCTAGCGGTTGTAGGGTTTAGTACCGGGCAAGAAGAAGAGAAATTGGGGTTCAGGGTGTACCTGGCATCCAAATTGCCCGCCCTTCAAGGTGTCCTTGCTTTGGTTTCCATATAGTTAGAGCAAGAGGAATTGGGATTTAGGGCTTAGGTTAGTTGACACTCATGCGTGCCTACAGAACGCAAGGCCCGAAGCTTAAGAGCCCAAGTTTGCTTCAGCTGAGGCTTCCCAGCTACAGGTACCAGCTATTGGGGGGATTACATAGGATCCAGAGCAGCGCGCAGCGCTCGGGGGTTCGATCAGTGAGAAAGTAATCCCCCCAGGATCCATGTGCCCCACTGCGATGCAACAACTCCAGGACCAGTGGATATACATGATATACTTACCCTTAGCATCAAAACAGCCCCAAAAGCCGTATACAATCGGGTCTTTGGGCCCAAAAGCCTTAAGATACGAGTCCTTTGAGGGTCAGGGTTGATAGGCACAGCAGATTTTGTGCTGTGAGAGGACCAGCTGGAGAAGGCCGTGAAGGCAAGAGCCGGTGTTGGGTGTCGATTTAAGGCTTATAGGATTTGAGACGAATAGGATTCTAGGCATGTAGGCTGTATATCTAGCATTTATGGGATTGATAGGGTCCAGGCTTTAGCGTTTCGGTGTTCAGTGTTTGACTGTTGGTTGCCGTGGAGGTCCTGTGAATCCCTGTGACATCACAGCCCTGCATACATTGAGGACCTTCCCCAGTGCATTCAGTCCGCGCCCCGGCCTGGAAGAAACGTATCGCAGGGGCCTTGACTTAATAAGATTAGCCGTGCACTGAAGGAGTTGTGGCTGCCACGTGACGTATGAGTGCCCCGAAAAGCAAGCATAAACTATGGACGCCTTTAGGGGCATTCTCCAGTTGTATGTTGTGGCTTCTTGTTGGCTTCTAGTCCAGGTGCTGTGTGCTGTGTTTTTGTGGGCTTGGTGTTTAATGGCGGGAGGGGGAGGGGGTGGGGGGGGCAGGGCTTCCGTAGGAAGTGTTCAAGGGCATCATAATATGTTTTTGTGCCCCGTGGAACCCATGAAGTCATACTTTTGCGCAGCCTCAGATTCCTTTTTCTCGTACGTTACAGTGGCCCAGCAACGCATGCATATCCTGGCATAATGCCGGCAGTTAAGGACAGCCTGTCGCATTTTACCCGATCATCCGAAGCCTTGCATTGACCTTACAACTATAGGTGCCGTGTGGGATAGCTGCTTGTGAAGTTTTCGACGTTCTTGCAGCCACACCTGTTTGCGCTTGAGTCATTGAGGGTCCATAGCCTGCAACCTAGATCAACCCTTTCTTTTCAAGACTCAAAAAAGCCTAAGCTCCAAATATCCCAACACCCATTTGTTCAAGCACTCTGATCCTGGAGAGGTCTGGAATCAGCCCCACGCCATCCGCGTGGCGGGATCCAAGTTCGCCGTGGACCGCCCGTCAACCTTAAAAACGACCCTGTAATGACAAATTACAATAACCGTGAGACATATTATGTAATCAGTCTTATTCTCCCGCAACGGTTTACATGTTAATTTCGGGTTGCAAGGGTGTACAACCGTCATGAAGACCCACTGAAACGATGTACTAGGGTGTTCAAGGTATCGTAGACGTGTCAGCCTCCTGATTTCCAAAAGGTTTTGGTCCTAGAAGCTGAGTTGGCAGTCTTCAACCTCACTGGGCTTCTGTGACCCCGAAGTAATCTAGGGGTTTGCGAAAATAGGGGACCCTAGTATATCGAGTATAGGGCTACTCCTTGTTTTCAGAAACTCCCATATAGAAGCCTGAATCACTACCAAGAGCTTATGTAGTATTCCATGTTACCTATTCTATATAATGTAACGCCCAAACCCGAATCTAATTGTAAAGGCCGCTATGCAAATAACATGGCTGAGTTGTCTTGGCGGCCAAAGGAGCTCGTAGAGCTGATTGTGTAGGTGCTTGAATCCCTGAACCTTAAACTCTAGACCCAAGAACCGAAACCGAGTTGAGTTGTAGTCCCGGAGGTTTGAGGTGGCTTGTGGCTTTGGGGTTTGGGTCTTAGGGTTGAGTGTGTTTGCTGAACCTATTTAAGCCCCTCGAAGCCCCAACCGCCCAAACAGCCCCACAGTGTCCCGAAACCCTAACCCCTAAACCCGAAATCCAAACTTCTTGAACCCTAAAGCCCTAAACCCCAAAGCCCCAAAACCCGCAGCTCCAAAAAACCCTGAAATGCCAAGACGCGAAGCACGCGAGCAGGACACGATCTCCCAAGGTGCCCCGCAGTGGCAAGTGAGGCCGGCCGAGTTCAGCTTTAGTTTGGGGTTTAGGGCTTGGGCCGAGTTCAGCTTTAGTTAGGTGTTTTGGGTGCACTGTGTGGGCCTGAATAAGTACCGTGTAACATGTTGTAATTGTGCTTTCTATACTTCCCGTTGCACCAAAACCTTATTCTATTCGTTTTTCCCTCTCATAAGTGTGCGTGTGTGTGTGTGTGTGTGCGTATAAACATATATATATATATATGTGTAAATAAATTCACCGGTATTTTGTAAGGCAACGATGTGATATTCGGTTTGTAGGCGAGTCGGATTTCGGCTTCAGGAGTAGAAGCTGTGATAAGGTTGACAGGATTTTCGAGAGAAAGCTGAGCGCTTCGAGCGCTTTTGAGGGAGGGGTTCAGGTCCGGGCTTCAGGGGCTATAGGGGTTTAGGGTTTCAGGTTTTGTGTTCCGGGGTTTGGTGGGGTTTAGGCTTTAAGATCCGTTTGGTTTGGGACATTTCGTGTTCATGTGAATAGTTGTCAGTTTTGGGTCGTAGATTATACATTCAATGAGAGCCTGAACCTTCTACCCTCAGGGTTTAGGGTTTAGTTGGTGGTGGAAGTGAGTGTGAGTTGAAGGTGCAGGCCACTACATTTTGGGGTTTGCAAAGTTCAACAGAGATTTTTGCACTGGCACCTGTCTTGTTTGGTTTGCGACCTTCTTGGCAGAGTTTGACAGCAACAGAGCTGTTTTACGATTCTTTGCTGCGGAGCCAGCCAGTCTGGAACCCCCCCCCATAGCCGGATTCCCGGTCCCTGAACGGAACGACCCAACTTCCCACCTGCTTGGTTTACGGTTTAGGCTAGGTTTAGGACTCACGATTTAGGGCTTAGGGTCTCTAGTACTATAGTGGCTGGATGTACACTTAGAAACATGGAAATGGGACGGCAGTGCCTCAAACCACATCGTGTATGCCCGAACTCCACAAAAACTGAAGGACTTAGCCCCGCTTCGACAGTATGAGCCTTGCCACGCATAACCCTGAAACTGAGAGGGATTCCAACCAAACCCCTCCAGCCCTCAGCCCTGAACCATTTTCACCCTAGGGCCACGGAATCAAACGGTTCAACGGCGCTGTTTGCGGCACGCGAGGATGGGGGAAGCGTCCGGCGCCCCAAATTTGAGAACCAGTCTTCTTTGAGTTTATAACACTTATTGAGTTAATATAGGGGCCTAAATAATTACCGATACTATTTTGGGGGTTCCTTGTTACGATTATAGTATAATGTACACCACGACCCTACTCTAATTATTAAGGCCTCCATCTTATGGGCAGTCGGAAGGTTCACTGACACAGGGCCTTCGAGGGTCGGAGAGGGAGGATGCTCGATTATGGTTGTAGGTGTTTAGGGATTTAGGGTTTTGGGGTTTTGGGTTTAGGGATTTAGGGTTTTGGGGCTTAGGGTTTTCGGAATTAGGGTTTAGGGATTTGGGTTTTGGGATTTTTAGGATTATGGAAGCGCTTGTGGTGTGGCAGCTCCCACACAGATGAGGCTGCATTGCTGCCACTGTTACGGTTTATTATTTCAGGTTTAGGGTTCAGGACCAAGTTGCATGCTCAGTACCTCGGCCTAACACTTATAAGACACACAGATCGATGCAGATATTGCTCTTTCGTCTGCCTATCTCGTGAACGAGTAGGCCCTGATAGTCTACAGCCTACGGGCCATACATACCCTGACTCTCTGATCTTTCTGCATCTCAACATACGCATACTCGGATTAACCCAGCGGATCACTCCTAATAACCATGTACTGAGTATCCCGAAGCCGTCTCGTAATCCTCGTTCCTTGCCGCCAGAGGAAACATGCCCAGCTCAGAACTCATGACCCTGAACTCTAAACTACCTCCAGTCATTGGCAAATCAGTAGTTCCCCATGAGGGTATGAAGGCCTCCAGACCCTCTGGCCTACTTAGTTCCACAACCCTGATTAAGGTCGTCTATGGCGTGAACTATGACTCGGACAAGAGCAGCTGCAAGCCGTTCTGTGGTTCGCGTGTCGCACTGGCCGCCACCGGCGAGGAGGTTCGGATGAGGTTGTCGGTTCACGTTTATGCACATGACTGTATGACGATATGCGGACCAACAGGACAAGACTTAGGGCGGCGCTGTCCTGAAAGTTGCATGGGATATTTGCACCGTGCAGACACTCAGATGGCCATACGAGCTGAATCGCTCGGGCCTACAAGGCTGAATAGCCACCGTACGCAGATGAACCTGAGGAAGTCGGTTGCACTGCACCCCTGGTGTTATTAAAGTACTTCCTGAGTTCGAGTATGGAGAGTCGACATGCCGACGTTGGCAAGAGTTTCTCGTATGCTTAGTGCCTTTCCGAGTCCGATAGAAATGCACGACTACTGCTTCAATTCGTGAGTGCTGAGGGGTCTTGAGAAGCAGTACAAGTTTCATTCGGTTCGCTGGGCTTAACTTCGAGGATACCCGAGACCCTGCACCCTAAACCCTAATAACCCTAGCCCAAAGTCACTGAGACAAGTGAATTCCCAGAGCGTAGAGTTTGCCGAAAGTTGTATCGTCTGCCTGTAACGACGAAGCTGGATTGTCACACCACGATTGTCACACGAAATCATATTGCTATATTGGCATGGTGTTATGTTGTCATATTGTGATTATGTTGTTTTTGCACTAAGATGCCATGATAGATCACCGTATTTGACCTTGGGTCGTGGGAGGGTGGCAGCGACGTGGACTGGACGGTGCAGGTGGAAAGTTGGGCACTCAGTACTTCCTCGTAGTTGAGTAAACAGGATGTAGGGCTTCTTAGAGGGGTTGAGGGCTTATTGCAAGGTTTAGGGCTTCTTAGAAAGTTCAGGTGGCAGCACTTAGCATCAGATGTTTGCATAGAACTGATCTTTCCCACGGTTCCTCTGCGCAAAGGTGAGGGCGGATTTCAGGGGCTGAGAAGCGCTTCCGGGTACTGCGATTTGTTTGGTGTTACCCCAAACCCTAAACCCTAAACCCTTTGGGGTTTAGGTTTCAGGCTCGCGCCCTCGGTTTCAAGTTTAAAGGTTTAGGGTTTACAGGTGGGAATTGCTGTAGAAAACACATCTTGGGCGTCACACCCCAAACGCCCGTGATTCCTCAAGCCCGAAATCCACAGCCTCGTACAGTACAAAGCAGAAGGAAGCTTTGATCTACAACCCCGAGCTTTACTTAAACCATCCTCAACCCTTCACGCCTCGAAACACTACATAATCCTCGTAGCCGGCAGCCCTAAACCCACAAACCATACAATGCTTTCAATCGTATACCCTAAAACTGAGAACTTAAACTCTGAAACTCTATGTTGTCTATATTCTAATAAACCCTTCACCCTACCTAGACCTAAACCCTAAACCCTATAAACCCTGAGCTGAGGACCGGGCAGCGCACCGCAGCGTGTCGCCGTCTCTGGCAATGGCGAGGTCGGGAGTCGAAAACGAGAGGAACCCAATCTTCCGTCATTAGAACCCCTGTGTGTGCCTGAGTGCATGTGTGTGTGTGTGTGTGTGTTTGTCGGTCTGTATCGGTATTTGTGTATATTTTTTTATTTTTTTGTACATATTTACCTACAATATGCTCCTAAGACCTGTTAAAATTCTAGTAGCTCTCGTATCCCTTTGGAGATTTCTGACAAGTCTAGTCTAAGTGGGGCTATCGAACCACTGGGTGTCATACTTCTGTTGACTTGTGGAGAGAAGGGTTCTAAGTCTCCCGCAAAGACATTTGACACGCCCCGAGCAGGGAAGCTCAGATTGGATTCTATTCAGAGTTGTGAAGTCTTCTGCGCGCAATTCTGGGTTCTAGTGTCTGATCTTGTGGGTTCCACTGTGTTCTCCTGTGGATTCCATTGAATTCGACAGGATGCCTTGTGGGGGACTCCTCCAGCATCTGAGCAAATAGGGATCTAGCTCGCTCTACTTGTAGCAGTAGTGCGGCGACAGTTATGCTGCCCTGCGGCTGTGTCTTGCAAGAGGCCTCTTGCTCCCGGTTTCTGGGTGGTAGGGCTCTAGCCACCAGCTCGAAGTCATGATCTTCTTGGCTGCAACCGCAGACATCAATTGTGGGAAAGTTTGACATTTGTGACGATCTGCTGGGTGTGTTGCAGGACATTGTCTACGACGCCACTCTTGCAGCGGAGAGGCCTTCTGACATTGGACAACCTGTGGCGGGTTGAATCAATAGGCCCCACCTAGAAACCTTAAGCCAACTCGTTTGAACGGTTCAAGCACTTCAACCTCTACTTCGGCCTGACTGTCGTCGGTTGGAGGCTTCACTGCAGAGCTGAGATTGATAGGCAGTAGCGACGCTAACCCTGGTTCTGCCTTCTAACTCACTGCATGGTGTAGGACAATTCTAAGCACTCGCTGTGGCAGGAAGCTGTTGCCGCTATTTCTGCAACCCCAAGGATCCCTGATGTAGATTCCTAGCGTAAGCTCGGCATGGCCAGTACATCACGCCAGAGGATCGGCAGACTCATCAGGGGGCTCTGTACTGTTGTGGTCTCAAAGAGAATGATCAACTGCCTGACCATACTAGCTGATCAACGGTTTCAAACCCGGGCCCGCAGTATCATGCAAAGAGATGTTGACGCGGGAGCCTTTGTACCAACATTCCTCTGCACCCGTCACGTTTAGTCGTCTTTTGAACGAAGCCTTGTACCCGAAGCCCTGCTCTAGTTTCACTGGCTCTTCTACCCACAAGGCACGAGGAAGACCCCCAAGCTGTACCTGTTGCAACCCCCGGAACACTGCTGAACAACAATAAACCCTCAATAAACCCCTAAATCCCTCAAGACCGAAACCCTATAAACTATAAACCCCAAACTCCCTGAACCCCTAAACACTTAATCCCCATAAACTATAAGCCCTAAACTCCCTGAACCCCTGGACACTTAAAGACCCTGTATGAACCAGCCCGGCTCTTGAAGGCCACTCCGTGGTGGAATCTCGGGTCTCGCGGCTGTGGACCTAAAGAAGCAAAGTGATGCCGAGGTCATTTGCTCTACAGGGTTTAGGGTTTATGGTTCAGGGTCTGGGGATTAGGGCTTAGGGTTATGCAGAGATCCCTTGTTTTCTACATGGTTTAGGGGTTACGGGCGTTTATGGTTTAGGGTTCAAGGTTTAAGGTCTAGGCGTTTTCTACATGGTGCAGGGTTTCGGTTCCTGATATAAGGGGTCCATAAGGGTTCTAATTGTCGGGTGTAGGGTTTCGGTTCCTTTTAGGATTTCCTTGAGAATTCCATACATAAGAGGCCGATGAAGGTTGCAGAACGGCCTTTCCAGGCTCCTTCTCAAAGTTCGAGGCTTTGAGGAGTCTTTGAGGTTCAGGGTTTCTGGATTCAACCGCTTGTGGTTCTAGATTTGCATGAACTGCAGGTGCAGCACCAGCTATAGATGTGTGTGGGGGTAGTGAAGTCTGCGGTTGAGTCCACGAGGAAAGCAAAGCAGCCGTTTTGTGATTAGCCACACTGTCGTTAGAGGGTGGACGGTGCGAGTTTGGGCATCAAAGACCTTCAAATTCCATCCAGAAGCTGAAGAAGGGCGTTTGTGATGCTTCGCCGACGCTTTGACACATCTCCGGCGCGTATATGCACCAGATCGAAGTGCGTTTTACATCCCCACAACCCCAGAATGGCCCCGATATCCCAAAACCTGAAACCGAAGCCCAACACGATTGACTCCCTGCCCTAACCCTCCAGGTACTTACTATATAGGGCCCCAGGGGCTCTGGTACCCTATATAGTAGGCACCTGGGGGGTTAGGGCTCATGATCCATCTACCCTTCTTGGGCATTAAACAAGCCGTCTCGGGACCTGCCTTAGCAAGCAGATCTCCATGGCATCTCTTGAGACCCTAAGCCCTACATCCGAAACAGAAACTTAGGGTTTAGGGTTTAGAGTTTGGGGTTTAGGAACTTTGGGTTTAGCGTTTAGTTTCGGGATGATTAAACCCTATAAGCCCCAAGCCCCCAAGCAATGAGAGCTTGGCTGTTGCACAGGGCTTCCTGCCCAACTGGATCAAGCCAAGCTTCGGAGCCAAGTGCTCCTCAGATGTTGGTTTAGGGTTTAGGGTTTAAAGGTTTAGGGTTTAGGGTTTAGGGGTTTAGGATTAGGGGTTTAGGGGTTTAGGGTTTGAGGTTTTGGTTTTCCGATGTTTCCCAACATGGGGGACTAGGGCTGAGGGTTACTATTCAGGTTCGCCTGGAGGTCACAGGGGTTCCGGTTCCGTGCCTACGGGAACCTTTCAGATTTTATCTGGCGCCTGGGTTTGTTGATTTGTGCTTGCATGTCTCCCTGAGAATTCAAACCCACATCGGATCAATGAATTCATGGCTTAATGTAGGGGCCTATAATTAGAATAGTTTTTTCTGTTTTTTGGGTGGGGGGGGGCTCCTTATTATATTTATAGTATAATATACCCCAAACCCTATTCTAATTATTAAGGCCCCTATATTATTGGGTTCCTGTCAAGGAGTTCAAGTCCAAGTTAGCTTACCACAAGAGGGATCTGTAACATGGTTTCCTCAAGATGGTATATAACTGAACGTAAATTCCTTAACAAGAAATTACACAGACAGGCAGCTTAAGATTCGCATTGGCACCAGTCTTGGTCCCGATTTCCTCCAGGTACACCTCGGGCAACACGGAATACCGGGCTGCCGTCTTCCCTGACCTTCAGCAGGACGGGAATGTCGTCGCGCCTGTTGGGTGTGGTTTAGGGGTCAAGTGGTCCAGGTTTTTGTTCTATGGCTTGCGAGGAGGGTCTTTCGCACCAAGGCACCACTAGAATATTCTTTGTTTCTTGAACAAAAAAACCGATGCGTCGATTCAAGCAGCAGCTGAAAAGCTTAGGTTGTGTTTAGCATCGGTTTGCGTCGCAAGCGGCCCGAGGCTACTATAGGGGCCTCAATAATTACCTATACTTTTTTTTTTGGGGGGGGGGTCCTTATTATAATTACAGCATAATATACCCCAACACCCTTTTCTAAATAAATATCAAGGCCCCCACATGAGAGACACTCCACAGATCGCTTCTTGGAGCATCTTCAGCTTCTCTGCACGGCTACAAGCGCTACAAACCCGCAAGCCGCATCGTCCAAAACCTGAAATGCCAAACCCTAAAGCCTGAAAACCTAAAACCTAAAATCTTGAAGCCTGAGCCCTGATACCCTACTCCTTAAGTCAACCGCCAAAACCTAAAAACCTTCACATCTCGCTGTTTGTTGAATATGAGTGACGCCGACCTGGCCGAAGGAGAATGTCTCCGTTGACTGGGAGGCAGTGATGAAGGGCCGCCTCGAGGCGCCCCGCGTTTCGGAGCGTCTTTTGGGGTTTTTGGGGGTTTCGGGTCACAAGGGGTTCATACAGATTCTGTTGAGGTGTTGGGGTTTGGAAAAGGGATGTATACAGATTCCATGAGGTTTATAGTTTTGGGGGTTTTGGGGGAGAAAAGGGATCTGCACGGATTCTACGAGGTCTAGGGTTAGGGTGAAGGTTCTACAAGGGTCATTCTACAAGGGTAATACTGGTCATGGGTGAGCTTGGGTCAAGGTTTCGGGTTGAGAATTTCCAGCAGCCCGAAAAACCATAAGACTCTTTGGTCCTCACCCCGAAATCCTAAACCCGAAGCCATAAACCCTAAACCCCCAAAAACCATGAGACTGCTTCAAGGCATTCATTAGTCGGTGGATTTTGTAGCCTCGTCTGCTGAAAACGATTCTTGGTTTGAAGCTTCCAGGTTTCTGCTGCTATGTAGATTAGGGTAGTTCAGGGGTTTGGGGGTTGGGTTTTGGGTGCCACAACATGGAGGTGCTGCAGTGATTGAACCGACATCCTCGCTACTTAACTCTGAACCGCGCAGCCACAAACCCGAGCTCTCGACCCCGAACCCGCTGATTTCACGCGAGTTACGTAGTACCAACATTACTGTTACCGCTATTATGATTAGTGTTATTAATTATTAATTTCATTATTATTATTGTTATTATCATCCCTTTGTAGTGCCTATACAGCTGAGGTCTTATAATTCCCCAAAAGCCCTGTTCTACCCGTGAGGCCCCTGTATTGCAACCATAGATGTCTGTATAAACCCCTGCCAGAATCTTTTCCCAACCCTATTTGAATTGTTAAGGCCCCTGCATTGTTAAACACCCTAGATCTGGTCCCTGTTAGATTGCGACAAAAAGACGGGACATCCTAGACCAGACCCTCCATCTACCCTCTATCAGACCCTTTACTAAATACACATTATTTGGGACCAGATGCCCCTGTTTGAGGGTTCTACCCTCTATCAGACCCTAAATACCCATGCTTTGCCATATGCCCCTGTTTGAGGGTACAAGGAAGGTCCTGGATAGTTTTTGGAGCTTGGGGTTTTCGGTTTTCCCCCAGCGACTCAGGCCTAAGGACGTCGTTTCCACTGTGCCACGGTTTAGGGGTTAGGGTTTAGGGATTTAGGGTTTAGGGGTTTAGGGTTTAGGGATTTAGGGTTTAGGGCTTAGGATTACTCCACAAACGAACCTGTAGGTCCTGCGACTTGAGCCACAGACTTTGCACACTGAGTTCTGAATCCTAGACTTCACGGAGTCTACTCTCAACCCGAAACACTATATGCACGAAACCGAGCCCACGCCGTGAAACCTAAGCTCAAGCCCTAGATGCTCAACCCTAAAACCTAAGCTCCAAACCCTAAACTCTACAACCTGAGCTCTACACACCCCATATACCCTCAAGCTCATGCAACCCGGAATCGACTCCCCAAACTAAGCCCTAAACTCTACAAACAAACTTCCATACACCCCTGGAGGCTTACAGCCTAAACCCCGAAAGCCCCTACCGAACTACACCCCCTGCTCCTTAAAACAATCTTAAACCCTCGCTGACGCCCCAGTCTAAACTCCTGGAATCGCTACCCCAAACCCCTAAGCCTCTAAGGCGTAAACCCTAAACACCCTAAACACCCTAAACCCTAAGCCCCTAAACCCCTAAACTCTAAACCCCTAAACCCCTAAACCCCGAAAACCCCTAACCCCTAAACCCCTAAGCCCTTAACCCTGAACCCTAAACCCCCAAACCCCTAAACCGCCAAACCCTGAACCCCTAAACCCCTGAACCCAGAACCCTGAAGCGCTAAACCCCTAAACCCCTAAACCCCTAAACCCTAAACCCCTAAACCCCTGAGCCCAGAACCCTGAAGCGCTAAAGCTCTAAACCCTAGCTCTAACCCCCAAAGTCCTAAACCCTGAAGCCCCAAAGCTCTAAACCCGAAACCCACAAACCCCTGAACCCAGAACCCCTAAAACCCCTAACCCCTAAACCCCTAAACCCCTGAACCCTGAACCCCTAAACCCCTGAACCCTAAACCCTAAACCCTAAACCCTAAACCCCTGAACCCTTTGCGCAGGGCTGGAGCTCCAAGCAGGGCGGCAAGATCCTAACTACGGATCCCCAGTGGCTGCGTTTGTTTGAATTTAAGGGCTTAGGGTTTAGGGTTTAAAGCTCAAAGGGTTTAGGGGTTAAGGGGTTTAGGGTTTAGGGGTTTAGGGTTTAGGTGTTTAGGGGTTTAGGGTTTAGGTGTTTAAGGGTTTGGGTTTAGGGTTTAGAGTTTTTAGGGCTTAGGGTATAAGTGCTGAGGGTCCAAGAACCCAGGGTTTAGGGTTTGGGATTTCGGGCTTAGGGTTTCGGGCTTTGGATTTTGAAAAGATGCTGAGGGTCGAAGGACCCAAAGTTTAAGACTTCGGGTTAAGGGTTTAGGGCTTATAGGGTTCCGGATTCGGGTTTAGGACTTGTATCAAGGGACCAAAGGGGGGACCCTTAAAGGGACCCTTGGGGCTGCAAAGGGGCTTTATAAGACTATCCTCCTATTGTCCCAGAACTATAAGGCTTTAAGAGGTCTAGGTCTTCGGTTTAAGGGTTCAGGTCTTCGGTGTCGGTTTCAGGGTCTCGGGCTTGGGGTCTAGGATTTACAGTTGATGGCCAGCGAAGCCGGAACCCTCCACTGGGTATGTGAGGCAAAGGATGATCAAGTATCAGAACCCCGTCGGGGTGTAATGGCATTCCCACAGTGAGATGACAAAAGTGGTTGATCACTGCTGTTGGTGCCAGGACTAGTTCTGGTATACATGACGGCACTTGATCACCACTGCTGATGCTGCTGCAACTGTATTTATTGTTGTCGTACCTGTCATAACTATCATCTTCAGTATTGATATGACTGTCACTAGTGTGGACATTGTCAGCTCCTTTGTGACTGCCACCATGGTAGATCATCAGTTGTAAATGTTACAACTGTTATTATGTCTCCTGTTGCTGCAACTGCGACTGCGGCTACTCAACTGCGAATTGCAGATTAGCTTTCGACTTAGCCGTACTCCTGAGACTGCCGACTGACTAGGCGCTCAGACTCCAGCAGGTGTTTGGAGTCTCTCTGTTAATCTTGCGGGCTTACTTCAAAGAATACAAGAACCAAGTGATGCCCCCTTTGAGTGTCAGCAGTCATCAGCAAGCAGATGCACACATCTGGAGGTGCTGTGGTTTGCGACTCAGGATTCAGGAGTTAGGCTCCACTGCATCCAGGCTAATGCCATGCAATGCATGTAGGGTTATGGATGCTGGGGCATTTTGTAGTACATTTCTAGTGAAAGAACCCCCAAAAACTTACTATTGGGAATTGTTCGGGCTTCTGTTTTTAGGCCGCTTCAAGTTCACAGCATTGCCTGAGGTATCAACTGCGGCTGTCCCAGGAAGGCTTGGCCGGCAAGGCGGAGAATTGGGAGTTGCTCTCAAGAGCTGCTTCAATTCGTGGTGCATGGTGTAGGCTTTCGTGTTTAAGGTTCGGGGTGTACGGTTCAGCGCATTTGGAGTTTAGGGTTTTCTGGACCGGTTTGCGTCTTTCAGCGCAGAAACATCCTCTGAGAGGGTCGCTAAGACCAAAGCCACACTTCGAGCTCGTCCCCTTCGGTCGGGCAGAGGCAACCTTGACTAAATGCACCGTCAAGTGCCACAGCTTTGGCCCTAAACGCCCTAAACCCTGAACCTAAACCTTGAACCCTCGACAGGGCTACAAATGCAACCTAAGAGCGTAGTGGCCTTAACAACCCCACCACCCGGAAGCCCCAACTTCGTGCAGGTTCGGGCACCTGCCAAGCTCGGCACGTCCTTTGGTCTTGACGGCAATGTGGACATGGAAGCTCGACTCGAGCAGGGTTTAGGGTTCAAGGTTTAGGGTTTGGGGTTTAGGGTTTAGGGTTCAGGGTTCAGGGTTTTAGGGTTCAGGGGTTCAGG